CGGACCTCCGACCTCCCGCTCGGCTTCCTTGGTCACCCCCTGCCCCCCCCCTCATGTCGAGGTCCTCGCCGCCAGGGCCACAACCGCTGCCATTATGCTGCCGAGCTCGGCCTCCTCGCGAACCTTGCGCAGCTCCTTGCCCGCCATGGTATCGTTCTTGACGTTCGTGGCGGCATGCTCGGACAAGTCGGGGGCAACCGTTGCGCCGTTTCGACGGGAGCCCCAGCCCACAACATGATAAGAAGAGGAATAATCGGGATAGCATGGCGGGATACGATGAGCTTCTTCAGTCAGCTGCAAGCGGCTACGGGTCATCTCCAGGGATGTGAGAGCAGGGACACTCACTTGTTCCACGGTAACCATTCTGTCGATCACCCGACCTTGGGCCTCATGCTAGCACGCCGACGCGTCACCTGCCGCTAATCCTGCTGTGCGCAGCCAGTGCTCATGACGAACGATTGGCGGCATCCCCTCGTCACGCATCGCTTGGGGCAAACCATTGCACGAAGGCCCTTCAAGCCGATGCCACCCTCGGGCTCGTCTCCCATGTTCATATCGACGGCGTCCTGAACAAAAAACCCTTACGACTTCCAATCGAGTCGGACCTGACGGGCAGGACTTGGAGGTCCTCGTTCCTGAGGCTGCCTTCTCTACATCGCTGTTCGGGATCTGCCTGATCAGCAGTGGGCCCTGAAGCGTGGACAGGATGACCCGTGTGCCACGAGTGATCGCGTCGCCGGGCAGTTCCTTGATCTCGTCCCCCTTGCGGAACTACGAGGTGCGGCTACCCACATGTGTCCCGGGACTGGAGGCACAACAGCCGCCGCAGCAGCGGCGGGCTGCGCAGCTCCCGCAACCGCAGCAAAGGCGACAGGAGCGCGGCCGCCGCCGCCCACGATCTGGTTGGACCCGCGGCGGCGGGGAGCGAGCTGGCCGACCACAGCACCCGATGCCGCCGCAGGCGGCTGGGGTTTCATCAACAATGCTCCATCCCGCACAAACTGTTGCAACTCTTCGCGCTCGGGGACGAGTCGAAACCGATAGATGCGCTCCCCTCGAACCCCGTGCGGCGTGATCCCATGCTGGTCACCATTTGACTCCCACCAAATCGGCGTTGGACGCCGTCAACCACGCCGTCAACCCAATATCACAATGATCTTCATCAGCCGTGTAGATCGCGTACAGACCTGGCGTACATGGTGACGACCCTGTGATCAACAATTCGTGCCAGAGCTCGGGCACCGGACCTTTTTACCTGACCGCCACATAATATCCTGCGTTTGCCTTTGTCGACATATGAAATCGAGCTGGTTCATGGCAAGCCGGGCGATATCTGGAATGTCGTCCTCACTTCGAAACCAGATCGCGCATGTCTGAACTGCCCAGCTGATGAAACAACCGAACCGAGTCAAGAAGATCGGCCAAATCACAGGGGCAAAAGGCGTACAGCACAGCTCTTCTCCTGCGGCGACTTCTCGTCCCTTGCCTGCAGCGTAGACCGACGGCCCTCCCTGGCGGCGGTGGCGACGGGAATGAGAGATTACAGATGCAATCTGGACACTGCAGACAGCCAGGGAAATCGGGACACTGAGGTATCTGTGGGCACGCCAACGAAGGCTGAGATGTCAATGACCAACAAACCGAAAAGTTTCAGAGACTGAGTCCTGTATCGGCTCTGGTCTGTGATTCAAACATCCCACTCACGCCACCTTGCGCACATAACTTGGACCCTAAGACAACTACAGAGCGACACCTGGCGCTGTACTTCCGCATTGACGGCATGAAGGTGCGAGAAGAAATCGTCATCCTCATCGTCATCCTCATTGTCATCGTCATCGTCGTCGTCGTCATCTGCATCGCCATCCTCATCATCAACACCATTCGCATCATCATCCTTTTTTTTGAGGAGGAGCAGGAGATGGGAGCGGACGGCGATACTATACACGACTCATGTGCGTCGCAAGGCTGTCCTGCGAACGTGGCCGAAACTCCGGCCGAGGATTCAAACAAAAACGAGTTCGGGTCACACCACGATTCAGTTGCTGCTTACTGTAGGCGCCGGCTGGGGTGGACAGATCCTGCCCCCCTGGACAGACAGACGCAAACAAAAGGAGCTGCCTGTGACAATGACTGCCCGGGCGAGCGGGCGAGGAGGAGGAACACGAAGGGGAGGGGGAAAGAGGCGAGAGAATCCTGCCAAAGGCCAGGGCCAGGAGCAGCGTTCAAGCCAACCTGCCATAGGCGAGCCGTCGCGCGCGTCCAACAGATTTCTTTGCAACGGTGGTCATCGCCCGACTGCCTGTCAGTCTGGGCGCCCACATGACCAACGCACTGCAAGCGCGGAGCAATACGTGACACGGAACCGGCACCGAGGAGGAGGAGGAGGAGGAAGAAGGAGGAGCAGAGGAGGACAAGAGAGGGAGCACGGGCCGAATACTACATACACATACATACATACATACATACACATCGTCACCGATAGAGTCAGCATCATGAGCAGCATCGGCATCAGCATCAGCATCAGCATCAGCATCACCATCCTGCCTCCTCATAACTCCTTCTGTCTACTGCTCCCCCCTCCCACCCTGCTCCAGCCGCTTCATCGGCCTCCTCCCCTCCTCCGCCTCCTCCTGCCTCCTCCTCCTCCTCCACATACTCATGCCTCCCCCCGCGCCCTTTGGCGCGAAACAACGCCGTTCAGACGTATCAGCGCCGCTCGCCGATGCAACCAAAGCAAGACTAAGTCGGATACCTCATGGGAGCTGGAGGTCCTGGGAGAGGGGCTCTCGCGCGAGACTCCATCGCTATTCACTCACAGACGAAGCCCCCGCTCGAGATTTCCTCCATATGGAGGCCACATTCATCAAAACGTGACGACAACTACATGGAGTCTGCTGACCCACTTGTTTTGCAAACATGGGGGGGGGCATCGAAAAGGGCTCCTGTGCGAGACTTGCTCGCCGATGGCTCACAGAAGAAACTCCCGCTCGAGTCTTACTCGAAATTCAAACCTCAGAAGCCCAACCGTGACGACAACTACACGTCTTCCGATGAGTCGCTCGGGTTGCAGACATGAAGTAGGGGGTCAATACGAAGGGGCTCTCACGCGATACACTTCCTCGCGATTTACTCACAGACGAGGCTCCCGCTCGAGACACCCTCCGAAATCTTGCCTCAAGAACCCGAACGTGACAATAAAAACTATCCCAGTTACCCGCACATCTTAAAAACAAATGGGGGCATAAGGGGGTGCTCACGCTCGAGACTTACATGCGATTCACTCAGACACGAGTCGCCCGCTCGAGACTTCCGCAATACGAATGTGCGAGTGTGCGAGCCAGTGTGTGTGTGCGATGATGGTGATGGCGGTGATGCTGCTGCTGCTGCTGATGTTGAATTGTGATCATGATGGGATGGTGATCGTGGTCATGATGGTGGTGTCATGGTGATGGTGAGTGTAGGGGGGGAGACTCTCTCCTGCGCGGAGTGTCCAGAGAGCAAGAACCCACTTAGGAAGTGGGGGACCACAGCGCAATTTGAAGGGATGGGTGGGATGGGTAAGATGTCAGATGTGGCATGAGCGCACCTAGCTTGCCCCCTTCCCCTCCGCGCCTCCCCTGGGGCCCCGTCCCAGAGCCGCTGGGGATGGGAGGAGAGGCGGCCGCTGATGCCGCCTGGTCCGACATGGCCGCGCTTCAGGGAGGGCTCGAGCTTCTGGGAGCCCCCTCTCAAGCAAGTGGGAGGTAGCACGAGCTGGCAGAGGGTGTGAGCTTACTCTCGAACAAGGCCCACGGCACTCACTTCAGGCCCTGGCTAGGTACTCCCGTCAACCCTCTGGGCGCTGGAAGTTCAGAGCGCTTACTATTTCAGCCACCTTCTTCCCTCAACATGCCTCCAGGAGGTTCCCGACAACGAGGCCCCAGAGACGGACCGAGAGGGCTTCGAGAGGTCGAAAAAGAACGTACTACTATTGATTGTCACACTTTATTTGAAATGCTGTTTTGATTGAGTTCTCTATCAGTGCCATCGCCAAGACCATGATCGTCAATCATCGTGGCCGAGTTGGTCGTTAACTCCGAGAGCGTGGCAATGTTCGTCATCGTCGCCGTCTGCATCGACTTCAACATCGGCGGTTTGAGGATATTGGTGCTCGCACGGCATGGAAGGCTCGTCATTATTGGGGAGTCTGCGTTGCCCACAATAAGACGACGGGCAATGACATAGGGGGGCCGTGGGGGCAACACCCTATGATTCAATCTTAGACTTTGCAACACGACTCACAGGAGTCGTGCACCTGACAGCCGCATTGCACAGCGTGAAATGCCACAGTGGCTAAACTGGTCGTGCAAGAAACTGCTGCGTGGCAAGGGCGAAGCAGGAGCAGATGTTGGCACGGGAGAAAGAGGTCATGGACGAGACGGGGTCTTGGACTCCAGGGCCATCCACAGGACCAGCTTTGATAACCTGGATAGCTTCTTGACGGTCCTGGCCACCAGGAGGGGTCACGGGAGACTGAACATGGAGGGGGAAAGCGAAACTCTTGAATCGCTTTCCCTCAGGATTCAAGCCCATCCTCTTCATGGCGAACCAAGTAGACGGCCGTGTGTGAAGCCGAACTCCACCGGTCCAGACTCTGGTGGGCTCCAGGTTCTGGTGGAGGGATGGTCAAGAACGACCGGGCACGAACGACGCGAAGGCAAAACTGGGCGGGTTGGATGCCTCACGGGTCACTCGGACCGCCCCTATCAGGTCCCACATCATTCACCCCGAAAACGCGAAGCGCGAGCCGCGGTTCTCTCCGCGCGCCTCCGCGGGAGGACTCGGGCGACCCCCCACACGCCCAACCTGAAGACCTCCTGCATGGGGCCAAGGGCCATGAGGTCCGAAGATCGCACCGCACCGCCGATGCATCGGAGACGCGCCCCTCTTGCCTCACAAGTTTGAGGCCTCGTCCATCGTCGACGTCGACCTGTCCCATCCTGCACATTTTTGCTCCGGCATCACGGGCCCATGTGGCGTGACAGCTCGTGCAGGCACAGCGTCGCCGCGGTGGCCGCGTTGAGAGACGCCCCCCGTCGCTGAGGAATGCGGACCTCAGTCGGAGAGCAAGCGAGCGGCACTCACAGCCAAGGCGATGAGTGGCGAGGAACGGCTGAGTCGTCGCGAGGAGTGACAGGATGGGTAGCCGGGGCGGGGGTAGCAAGGCACGAAAGAAGGCAGGACTAACGATCGGCAGGCCTGGGAGCCATCAAGTGGCCAAAATGCTACAAACACGCACGGCCAGTAGCTCTCGGGAGTCACCACCGGGAGGCTGACACACTTTTCCACGACGTCAGATGCATCTGGGGGGTCACAGTTGGAGGTGGCCCGAGCTGGCCTCAGCAGGCCATTTGAGGCAAACCTGGATACCTATGAGGACGTCTAGTCATGCAAATCCCCGAGCCTTGCCACTGCCAATGATGGCTCCCGAACACATCTGAATCAACGTATACCCAAATTACAAAAAACGTGAAAACAATCCCTGCCTCTTCCATCCCCAGTCCTCCGCACTCCGCCCCTTCCACCCTCCACGCTCTTCCCTCCCCCATCCTGCCTCCTCCCCCTCGTGCGGGCTCTCCATGCTTCCCCCTCCCTCCACCTGGCCCGCGAGATCCGCTGAGGGCCGCGAGTGACCCGAGCGTGGCACTGCTCCGCAACCTCTGGCGACACCCCTCTGTCCTGGCGGACAACCCCCTGCCCAAAGAGAGGGGGGTGCGACGAGGGCAGGGAGGAGGAAGGAAAGCGGGGCGGGAGGGTGGACGCAGTCAAAAGCGTTAGGCCATTTTGAACTTCACGGCGGAGCGGCACTAAGGCTCTCGCTGAGCTGTAGCCTCAATCAAATGGGCCCCGAGTCGCTGCGCCGGCTCCTGCAAACGTCAAAATCAAGCGAGTAAAAACGAACGGGCAGACCTCCTGGAACCCGCGAGGTAGGGAAGGAGGAAGAGAAGGGGGGACAGGATGAGGAATGGGCGGAACACGGAGCAGGGAAATGATGAACCGTGCGTGGAGGCGGATGGATGATGATGAGGGGGGAGAGGAGCAGGAAGAAGCAGATGAGGGGGAGTGAGGAGAATAAGGTGGTTGATAAGGACGAGCAGGAAAACGACGCGAAGGTGGATGATGAGAATCAGGATCAGGATTGGAAAGATGTGGATGATGAGAAGAAGAAGGCAATGCGGAGGTAACGGGAGGTGCATATACAGACGGGGAACTGGGGGAGGAGGAGGAGGAGTATGGAATCCGGCGTGCGGAATCTGGCGTGAGGAACAGGGAAATGAAACGTAGTTTCTTTGTTTTTGGTTTAATTTACATTCATATATGGACGCCCTTTCGCTGTATCCCTTCCCTGCCAATTTGGGGAAGGGGCAGCAGGGGGGTGGGCCCGGAACAGAATATCCCCCCCGGGGGTGGTCGCCAACGGGGGTCCCCAGGGAGATCCAGCCTTTTCAAGGTCCCTGGGGAGGTTCCGCCGCAAGGCCTTCCCAAAACAGATCGACCTGCCTCCACGGATAACATTCTTGGAAACTGCGGAAGGAGGACGAAAAGGAGGGGGCCAGGAACAAGATGAGGAGCAAGGGGAGGGCTGAGGAGAGCAGGAGGGAAGCGAGGCAGAAAAAAAACAAAAAGACGAAGGGTAGGAGGAACATAACTAATCAAGAGGGACAGGATGAAGATGAAGGGGAAGAGGTCATGGAGGAGAGATTAATGAAAAGAGAAAGGGAGAACGGATACGTAGGGGATGATCAGGCGGCCGAACCCTCCTCGCTTACCGTCTGCACCTACCTCCTCCTCATTTCACCCCCACTATCCAGTCCTGAGAATACTACTACCTCCCATGACGACGAAGATCACGAAACAGACGACGACTACAACGACGCAAACAAAAATGACGACAGAAACGATGACTACGAAGACGACTGACGAGACAATGGAACAAAAACGACGACAAATACGACGCTGACCCCCGAATCGCGGCCAAACGGCCGCGCAGTCCTCGCTGCCGATCACCAGCGCCCAGTTGCGGTCGCCGGCTGGCGAGTGGGGAGCCACCGGCTGCGAGAAGTACTCCTCTCGGGAGGGGCGGGAGCAGAAGGAATGGGAGGAGTGCGTCCTGGTCTAACTCCCTGATCTTCATGCTGGCCCACCTCCTCCACGTCCTTCTCGTCCTCGTCCTCCCTTGTCCTCCCCATCCTCATGATCGATCCCCGCGCGCGGCCCCGGGCCACTTGGCCCCCCGGGTTTGGCGGCCCACCGACGCGCCCTCCAGCGCGCAGAGGCCGGCTGTGAGCTGGCAAACGGTTCCGCTGCCCGGCCAATCTCGCAAGGGCTGCCGCCCCGCGACGCTCGCGGCGCGACGACCGGGATTTGTGAGCGCCTTGGGGGTCAGAGCGCTTGGAAAGGCAGCGGGGGGAGGCAACTGGGGAAACAAAACGAGGGAACAGCATGGTTTTGACGAAGCCATTTCGGAGTCAAAATCGTGTTGGCAATCGCGCGAGAGTTGATGGGCCATGGTGATTTTCCTGGGCGTCAATGAAAATACGACGACGCCGCCTGTGACTCGATCCCGCGGGAGACGTGGACATGGCTGCAAACGCGCTCCAATCGCGGGTGCAACGCCGGCCGCTGGCTGCTTCGCCTGCCGCGCATCGCAGCGTGCACATGCAGTAAGAAAGAAGCCGCTGCCGAAACGCGCAGGGAGTGGGCAAGGGCAACATTCCAAGCATTGCGCAGCGCAGGCAACGGGCAAACATAGCAACGCGCGGTCAACAAAAACCATCGTCGTTCCCGGAGCGGGTCAAGTCGCGCGGCCGTGGCAAACGCCACGCGCGCCAGCATAAAACGAACTGTGAAGCGTCGTTGCGTTCGCTGTGGTCATCGTCGCTGGCCCCGCGCCCCTACTCGGCATCGCACCGCCCCCTGACGAGTCGAGCCAGCGCAGAGCTCGGCGCGCCACGAAGATGGATGCAAACCGTCGCAAGGATTTCTCCTCCTGGAAGGCGGCCGTCGACTCATCCTGCAACGCAGCAGGGGCCCAAGCACACTTTTGCTTCCACCGGGCAATTCACTGCCATATCCGGCACAGAGGCAAGCGCGGATCCTGCGCAGCCCCGTAAGGGTACTCGCCTCGCGCGAGCCACCATTTATTTGCGCGGGCCACCTCGTCGAGATATTCTATTTCGCGCTAGCGCTGGGGCGGCGTCGGCCCCTGGTCCAGACGCGCGTCGGGGCTCGCCCGCAGCTCGGCAAGCGCCGAGCGCGATCGCTGGCCGCGCCAACTGCCAATGGCCTCCGGGCGTCAAAGAGTCTGGGCGCAGCCGCGGCCGCTGTCGACGCGACGGATGCGCGGTCGACGTTTGCCGCTGGACCGCACGCGAGGGGCGGCCCATGGCTTGGCTGCGCCCGCGGCGCGCGAGGGCGCGCGGCGCCGTTCCTGCCACAGGCCGCCGGGGTCAGCGAGATTGCGCTACAGGAAATAAAATCCGCGGTCTCGGAGGGGCCACGAAATCAGAACCGCGGTCAGCGGATCTGGTTCGGAATACCACTCAGCTTCTTCATGAGATAGAGCATCGGAAATCGATAACCTGGGACAGCTTGATACTTTTACCACTTCTCAATATTACTCTGGGTCCTCGGGTCACAACGTGTTCCTGGGATAACCTTAACACAAATCGGGTCAAACTTCGTACGGTCATTCACTGTCCCTGGGTGCGCGACGGAACTGGGATTCCGACAGTGCGCCCTTGGCGCTCAAGAAGTCTGTTATCGTTTTTGCATGTTTCACGATTTATATGGACATCGCGGCTATTGCTCGAGACTTCCTTGCGGTTCGTGCACGTCCCACGCTTCAGCAACCCGCCTGCCCGACCTGCTCGCATGGGCCCGCCGTCCCGACTTGCCCGCTATGGGTCTGCCCGCCTGATCTGCCCGTCTGATAATTCCACTTGTTTCCTGCTCCTTGCACCCTTCCTGTTAATTTCTCTCGCATTCCATTATTACCCCTCCCCCTTTGAACCCGTCTTCTCTTCCCGTGTGTTAGGGGCTGCATTAAATTCACGTGGCGGGTTCAGAAAATATGCCCCCAAGGGGCACGATTACCGAGGTTTGGGATAGACGTATTGATTTGCGTGTGAGCAGATAAGGGCGTTCAGTATTAAAATGATGGTTGTTGTTGTGGTTGTTGTTGTGGTTGCTCGAATGTTGTTTGTTGTTGTCGTCGTCGTCGTTGTTGTTGTTCTCGTTGTTGTTGTTGTTGCTGTTGTTTTCGTTGTTGTTGAATGTTAACTACTAAACAATTGTTATTGTTGGACCCTTTACAGGCGCCCTGGCGCTCTCGCCGAGGCGCTGGCTGTATTTTCATTGAAAATGAGGATCACTCTCAAACGCCTTGGGGGGCGCCAAAAAACGGCCCCCCAACAACAACAACAACGCCCCCGTTCGAGACTTCTGTTTGTACTCAGGGCCGGTGCTCTTGGTCGCCGCCGAAAACAGCCGTCTCAACAAAACCGGCGCTCCCGTTCGAGACTTCCTCCCGTTTTACCTTGGACAGGCGCGCTATTCTTTCCCTCGCCGGCGCCGCCCCCCAGCAACAACAATGCTCCCGCTCGAAACTTCCTCCCATTTTAACTCAAGGCGGCGCTCTTGCTCACCGCCGACAGCCGCCGCCCCGGCAAAATCAACGCTCCCGCCCGAGACGTCCTCCCGTTTTACTGTGGACTGGCGCCATTTTCTCCTCCTCCTCGTCCTCGCCATCGTCCTCGTCCTCCTCCTTTTCCTCCGTCTCCTCCTCCTCATTTTCCTCCCCCTCCTCCTCCTCCCCCTCCTCCTCCTCCTCCTCCTCTTTTTCCTCCCTCCCCCCCTCCACCCTGTCCCTCTCTTTTCCTTCCTCCACCCCTCCTCTTTTCCCTCCTCCCTCCTCCGCCCCTCTTTCCTCCCTCTTTTCCCTCCCTCCATCTCCTCCCTGTCCTCCTCCTCCTCCTTCTCCTCCTCGCCCCCCCTCCCCCCCGTCCCCCTCTTCCTCTTCCTCCTCCTCCTCCTCCTCCTCCTCCTCCTCTTCCTCCTCCTCCTCCTCGTCATCCTCATCATCATCATCATCAGCATCATCATCATCATCATCATCATCATCACCATCATCATCATCATCATCATCATCATCATCATCATCATCATCTTCTGCCTCCTCCTTAATCCTCCTAGTCCTCATCATTTTCCTCCTCCCCCCTCCTCCTCCTCCTCCTCCTCCTCCTCCTCCTCCTCCTCCTCCTCTTCCTCCTCCTCCTCCTCCTCCTCCTCCTCCTCCTCCTCCTCCTCCTCCTCCTCCTCCTCCTCCGCCTCCTCATCATCATCATCATCATCATCATCATCATCATCATCATCATCCATCCCTCTCCTCCTCCTCCTCCCCTCCTCCGCCCTTCCCCTCTTTCCTCTCTCTCTCCCTTCCTCCACCCCCTCGTCTTTTCCCTCCTCCCCCCCCCCCTCTCTCCCGCCCGTTTTCCCTCCCTCCGTTTCCCGCCTCCATTCCTTGTGTCGCCCCTTCGCTCCCCCCCTCCCCCTGCCCCCCCTTTTGCCCTTCCGTCCTCCCTGGTCGCCCCCGTTCGATGTTCCCTCACCTTCTACTCAAGACTGGGGTCCTCGTTTCGGCGTCGCCTCTGGGGAGTTTCCAAGAGTCCCGGTTGAAGCTTAATTCATAAGCTGACTCTCATATTTGGAGAGCATAGATAATGTGGAGGAGGAAGAGAAGAAGGAGGACGGATGATTTCCAGGGACTCCAAGGCATGTGGATCGAAACGTTGACGTCAGGGATTCCTTGAAAGGGCGCGGGGGGGCAGGTGGAGGATGCGAGCGCGGGAGCGGCCGCGCCCGGGGGCGCGAACGTGCAGGGCCACGCTCCGAGGCCGCAGGCTGATTTCGCAACAATTCGAACGAGGAGTGGAAACCACTTCGTCCCCAGACTGCTACCACAACTACTCCTCCTTGCCCCCCCTCCTCCTCCTCCATCCTCCTCCTCTCCCTCTTCCTATCCCGCATTGTCCCTCCCCTCCTCGTCTTGTTCCTCCTCCTCCTCCGAGATGCGGGGCGCGCGCAAGGCGATTGCGATGGCGACGTGCCGTCCGAGCTGTGGATATCGAAGTCCCCCGGAAATAGGAGGTGGCAATACTTCTTGGGCGGGAGATCTGGGTGAGGGAATATAGGACCCACCATGCCCCACCCCAAAAAAACATGATTGGGCGTGGTATCCAGAAGGATGCATGTGACATGTGGAAGCATGGCGCATGATCGTAAAATGATTGAATGTTAATTACGAAACAATTAATATTGTTGGACCCCTTATAAAGCCTTGGCGCTCTCGCCGAGGCGCCGGCTACATTGCCATCGAAAATGAGGCTCGCGCTCGAACGGTCTGGGGGACCGCCAAAACCGGCCCCTCAACAACAACAGCGCTTCAGCTCGAGACTTCCTCCTTTTTTAGTCAGGGCTGGTGTTTTTGCTCGCCGCCGAAAGCCGCCGCCCTAACAAAACCAGCGCTCCCGCTCGAGAATTCCTTCCGCTTTACACTTGGACTGGCGCGCTAGTTTTTCTCTCATCGGCGCCGCCACAAGCAAAAGCAATGTTCCCGCATTCCTCCTATTTTACTCAAGGTGGTGCTGCTCCTCGCCGCCGAAAACCGCCGCCCCGACAAAACCAGCGCTCCCGCCCGAGACCTCCTTCCGCTTTACACTTGGCTGGCGCCCTACTCTCTTTCGAATCGGCGCCGCCCCCAGCAAAAACAACGCTCCCGCTCCAGATGTCCTCTCATTTTCCTCGGGACGGTGCTGTTCCTCGCCGCCGACAACCCCCGTCCCGACAAAACCACGGCTCCCACTTGATGATTCTTCCTCCATTCTTAGTCAACGCGGTGTTCCTCTTCGCCGCCGGAAGCCACCGTCCCAACAAAACCAGCGCTCCCGCCCGAGACCTCCTTCCGTTTTACACTGGGCTGGCGCCCTGCTCTCTTTTGAATCGGCGCCGCCCCCAGCAAGAACAACGCTCCCGCTCGCGATGTCCTCTCTTTTTCCTCGGGACGGTGCTGTTCCTCACCGCCGACAGCCCCCGTTCCGACAAAACCACGGTTCCCGCTCGATGTTTCTTCATTGATTAAGTCAAGGCGGTGTTCCTCCTCGCCGCCGAAAGCCGCCGTCCCAACAAAACCAGCGCCCCCGCTCGAGACTTCGTGTTGCTTTACGCTGGGCTAGCGCCCTACTCTTTCAGCATTGGCGACGCTCCCAGCAACAACAGCAGCCCTGCTCGAGACCCCCGACCTTTCTATTCAGGGCCAAGTCCTTGCCTCACCTCCGACAGCCCCCATCCCCACCAAGGCAACCCTGTCGTTCGATACTTCCTTGTGTTTTGCCCTTCGCTGGGGTTCCACTGGCGGGCTCGCATCGGTGCAGCAAGGCTCGGGCATGTGTTTTCGAGGCAGGATATGTTGAAATTCCTCGGAGGAGGTGTTTGCAAGAGCTCATTGGGCGGGATATCTGGGAATGGGAATAACGGGCCCCGCTATAGAATCATGTTGGTCGCATGCTTCGTGTGGAATCCTCGCGCATGAGCGTAATCTGATTGTTGTTGCTGTTGCTCTGGATGTTGTTGTTGTTTGGCGTCGTCCCCACCGCAGTCGGGCCCGCGACCCACCCGCGACACACCCCGCGATCAACCCGCGACCCACCCGCGACCCACCCGCGACCCACCCCGCGACCCACCCGCGACCCACCTCGCGACCCAGCCGCGACCCAGCCGCGACCCACCCCGACACCCGCCCGCGACCCCACCACGACCCAGCCGCGACCCAACCGCGACCCAGCCGCGACCCAACCGCGACCCAGCCGCGACCCACCCGCGACCCACCCCGCGACCCACCCGCGACCCACCCCGCGACCCACCCGCGACCCACCTCGCGACCCAGCCGCGACCCACCCGCGACCCACCCCGACACCCGCCCGCGACCCCACCGCCACCCAACCGCGACCCAGCCGCGACCCACCCGCGACCCAGCCGCGACCCGCCCTCGACCCACCTGCGACCCACCCGCGACCCAACCCGCGGCCCATCCACATTGCTGAAATTTTAAAAGTGGCGCCTGCGGCGTGTCCAAAGCCTCGCAAACTGCAAACGCCTCCCCTCCCCTCCCTTTTATCCGCGACTGCGGGGTGCTACGTGTTTATCCCCCTTCCTCCCCCTTCCCAACCTCATGCATCTCCCTCTCCTACCCCTACTCCGCTTGTTCCATCCCCTCCTCTCCCTCCTCCCCACCGCCCTTGGGTGCCGCCGCCGAACTCCTCGGCCGCGTACAAGCGAAGGCCTCCTGCACGTAGAGCGCGGAGCGCCTTCGAGCAAGACTCGCAGAGGGGCGAGAAGTCGCCGTCGCCAAAGGGGAAGAAAAACGGAGGATGAGGAGGATGAGTAGAAGACAGAATGGGAAAAGGGAGGGAGAACTGGGAGGGAACAGCACAACTCGTGGAATTACGAGAGTGCGGGGGATAAGGACGACCAGGATGAGGAGGAGCGGGGAGAGAGGAGCGGGAGGAGAGAGGTGAACGAATATAGAACAGAGGGAAGAAGGAGGAATAGGCGGGGACAGGAAAATAATGAAGGAGGAGGAGACGGGGAACGAACGAGGAGGATGTGTGTGTGGCTGGGTACGTCGACCTGGTTACGTCCTTCCGCACGCAACATTCGAGGATGGTGATTTTGACGCGCCGTCGACGGCAACACCACTTCGCTCTCCCTCCGGGACTTCGCCTCCGGCTCCTGTCCAAGGCGTACCTTTTCCTGTGCAAGCTCTTCGGCTCCGCCTGCACCCCGCGCCCTCTGGCCGACTGAAGCCCCGCTCGCCCGCGCCCTGTCTCCCCAATTAGTGCGTTGCGCGCCCCGCCTAGCTCTTAACCGGAAGAGGCTCGCTCTCGACCCGCTGACCAAAAAAGCGTGTGGCGGGGTCAGGCGGGAAGGGAGGAAGGAAACAGAAAGCGCAATGGGACGAGGGGCAAAGAAACAAAGGAGCGGAGGCGTAAGTGGGAGCAGGCGGAGGAGCAGGAGGACGATGGAAGATGTTGTCTCTGTAGCAGCAACCTGCTTCAGACCCTCTCACAGGAGGGCCAATGTGGATGTATCGGGATACGTCTGTGGCGATCTTCACGCGTTGATCCTCGCTGCGTCCGTTGTTATCTTGGGAACGAGGCGTGGATACAATACTAACAAGAGCTGCCGCCATACCCTCCCCTCCGAGTTCCCTCCCCCTCCTACCCACACCTGAACAGTGACAGCCCAAGGGCCCAAGGGGAGTGTCGCATGAACACATAAGTGGTGTCGGGAGAGGGCGCTCCGGCAACATATGCCGAAAACAAGGGTGCGCTCCAGCACGGTTATTGTCGAGCGAGGGCGGGATGTTCCAGCAGCCCACGTCGTGCGCTCCAGCACGACGGTGTGAAGTTGCCGTCGCCGTCGCCTGTCGTCTGTCGCCAATCGCCGTCGCCCATATCAGCGCCGTCGCCGCCTTGGCTGTCGCCGTCGCCACCCTCGCCATCGCCTTCGCTGGCGTCGTCCTCGCCGCCGCCATTGCCGCGGTCGCCGTCGCCACCGTCGTCGTCGTCGTCGCTGCTTGCGTCGTCAGCACCTTCGCCGGCGCCGTCATCGTCGCCGACATCGCCGCCGTCGCCGTCTCCACCGTCGTCATCGTTGTCGCCGCTGGCGTCGTCGTCATCTCTGCCGCAGTCTCCGCGATCTGGCCATACATTCTCACTAGCGAAATCACCCCAACCCTCTGGGCGTAAATGGTTTAGAACGTATACTCTTACAACCTCATTCTTCCGCTTCGAGAAGAGGATTGCCACTTTGCATGTCCAGCATCCCTGACATAAAAATGCAACATGAAGTTGCGGCAAAATATTTGACCAGAAAGTGAAGCTGCAACAATATGTTGGGCCATGCGCGGGCGCCCCATCATCAACTATCATTGTCATTTAAAAGGCATGGCGGAGATGCCGTGGCACACACGGCGCACCTCGTGGGCGTTACACACCTGACTGGCGTCTACATTGGTTCCCGATGACTTTCGACGGCGACCCCTGCCGATGCTGGGACTGGGATACCAATTGTGTAGTGTAAGGGCGGATGGGAGAGAGCGTGATTGCCGTCTTCCGGGGTTGCTTGATCTCTACTCCTCATTACTAAACACCTCCCCCACTCGACCAGCCGCCAACCTACAATCCCTGCGAACAACGAATTTGACGTATACTTTGCAACCACATGTTGGGCCATGCGCGAGCTCACCGCGATCAATGTGTATTAGTGCTTTTGAAATGAACGCCAAGAGTGTCGTTACATTGCCAGCTGCGCGCAGGCCCACCGTCCGTGTCAAAAACACGTTGAAAGTGACTGCTGGTGCACATACCATACAACAGAATGGCCACCCCGCAGCCATCATGCATGAGTTGTCAACGAGGGTGGCTGTGTGGGGGTCGACGTCTTTGCTGAAGTGTGCTGTCACGTGCACCTGCGCATCTGGCACACTCTGCGCGCGTCGCGCACCTGCGCGTCTGGAGCACGTGGTACACTGTGGCGTATGTGGAGCGCGCAGAGCATCCGGCGCACAGGCGCACCTGGCACGCTTGGGCCCCTGGTGCGCCTGGGGCACTTGCTGCGCATGACACCTGGCAGCAATTCTAGTGCCCAGAAGCTGAGCCTCGGGTGTTTCCTGTGGCGTGAGTGAACGAGACACCTTGCGGCACACCCACTCCCCTGGGTCGGGGCGGAGGCGGGGAGGGCGAGGCGTTTGAGCGTCCAAGATGGGCCAAGATGGCTCAAACCAAAAAGGCCTCGCGTAGCCTTAAATGGCCCAATCTGACCTTCAACATGCATCCTGTAGGCCGGCCCCTGAGGCTTCAAGACGGCCCCACGATCGCCCAAACGGCTCCAAGATGGCTCCACGAGAGCCAAGAGGGCGTCAAGAGCAGATAGTTTGGGCTTCAGGGGGGGGGCGCCGCTAATTCACGTCGCATTGCCCCAAAGGGGCCCGACGAGGGCCCACAAGAGCACCAAGAGGACCTCGACGATTCCCACACGGGCTTGAATATTCAAACAAGAGGCCTCGAAAAGACCTTTAAGAGGCCGTAGTCCGCCTATTCGCTCCAGTATGTGCTTACGTAGCACCCCACAACTACGGACAAAAAGCGAGGGGGCTGGCGCGGTGTGGGTCGCGCGTGGGTCGCAGGTCGCGATGTGGGTCGCGGGTGGACCGCCAAACGCCAGCAGAAAGGCAAACGCGGCAGGCGGCGAACAATGAAGAAAACACAACACGCGTCAGGACTAGCTCGCCGTCTGCCCCTCTTGCTTCTCCTGTTTTTGCTCTTGCTCCCTCCCCCTACCCATCGTCGTCATCGTCATACTGTTCCTCCTCTGCATCCTCCCTCTCCACCTTGAAATCGGTTCGGCCTCTGGACCCTTCCTGGATCGCGTTCCGAGCGGGGTTTCGAAGCAAATTTGGCCGTGGCGATGAAAGGGGACACCATGGAGACCTTGAAAGAAACGAAACAACATTCAATAATCAAAACACATATGCCCAAACTGATCAGCGCTCTACTATTCACCCCTTTCTCAATAACGCCGCCTCCCCTACGATTTCCCCCGCGCCTCTGGAAGCGAATCAGCCCGGTGAAACTCGCAGTGGTACAGCCAACCATGTGACACACGGGCAGCACGGCCTCGGAAAAAGGACCGCGGAGAAGATAATCAGTAGAAGGATGAAGGACGATTGCGGCGGGGGGGGGGCGCAAGAAAGAGGACGATGGCGATGATGCCTGGCATGGTTGGTTACGACGTTGTTGATAAGTACGGTGGTAATGGTGATGCTGGCGATGCTGATGTTGTTGATGCTGATGATGGTGAGTATGGAGATGGTGGTGGCGGTGATGGTGATGCTGGAGCATGCTGAAGATGCTGATGAGTGTGGTGGTGATGTTCATGGTGGTGTTGGTGGCGATGGTGGCGGTGATGATGGCGTTGTCGGCAATGTTGGTGCTGATGATAAAGTTATTGGTAAAGGTGACAATGATGTTGTTGCACATACCAGATTAGATCAGAACCCATAAGCGGGCTAGCAGATTTCTCATGCTGACACGGCCCTTAAGATCGGGCTACGCCCGGATGTCAATTTGCAATGTGTGGCCAAGCGCCGTCGCGACTCACTACAGAAAACTAGCTCTGCCGCTGTCACGGAGCACTCAAAAGACGCAGGGCTGCACCTCGGTCGGCACCGCTCCACTGTGCAGAAAAACGCTAAAGGACCGCGAGGCTCCACCCTCCACCTGCCCACCGCCTCTCCTGATCACTGCCAGAATACTAGGTTCCGCGGGGCCGCGAATCTGCTCGGCGCCCGCCGAAGCATCGTGAACCTGCACGCGTTTTGGGTCAGAATTGCCCGGGCTTGCTAACCTACAAACTCTGGGCACTCACTCCACCAACCACCCGGCCCCTCGAAACAACTCGTTTACGGAACTCGACTTGCCTTCTGGAAGAAGTCAAGGGGGGTGCGCGGGGGAGGGGCTCGCGGCAAACGACGGGGGGGGGCCGGGGTGCGCGGGGGCCGACGCGCCCGCAGCACGCGCGGTTCGCAAGGCCCGCGCTGTCGAGAGACAGCTGCAGCTGGCCCGCGCGACTGGCTCTGCCCAGGGAGGTTGCCAAGGCGAGGGGGGGGGGCTCCGAGGAGGGAGGCCCGAGAGAAGAGAAAGTGGGGGGATCGAAGATCGGCGTGCTAGCTGTGCGGATCAGGCTCTGCACTAGTCTCTCACGCCGGTCCTTTCTCAAATCTGGAGGCTCACTCAGAATTGCGCGAAACTCGAGAGATCGCGCAGCCCCGTGCGAATCGGGCGCCCCGCGTGGCCCACCCTACCCGCCCCATGCTTGCAGTCTGCCCTGGCCGGGATGGGGGCCGCCAGCTCCGGCGCCATGTTGACGCGCAAGCTAAAGGGGCAGCGCGAGCTTCACCACCCCCTCCTCGTGGCAGTCCGAGATCTTGGACATGGGCGCACCTCTCCCATCCCGCAAATTGCGAGGGCATTCTGCTGCTTGCCAATGCTTCTAACGCCCGCTGGCTGACGCGCCCCGCCGCGCTGCCCTCCGTAGCGCGCTACTGAGATGGCGCCCATCTCCGCGAGATTCGGCCCCGCCTCGGCCTTTGGTAGCATCGACCTGTGCCTCTCGGGCGTGCGGAGACTCGCCTTTGCGCGCGACTTCGCCTTCGCCGCCGGCTGCGTGCCCGACGACATCAGGAAGGTTTTCGCCTCGATAGATTCGATCTGCCTCTGCTTCAGCGCTGCGTTGAAGATGAGCTTCGTCATGACTGGGAGATACTTATGCGTGATCTGGGCCTCCATCAGATCGCCGTCTAGCTCGGTCGCGTCCGCTGTCTCGGGGTCGTTTCGCCCCGGCCTGTCATGCGCACGATTGCCAGACGAGGCCGCTCCTCCTCTGGCCCCGTGCGCGGCCTCCTCGCGCGCCGGTTCGCCGTCTGCCCGCGCCATAGCTGGAAGCGCATGCAGCCGAGGCGCGCGGCCGAGGGGGCGGCGCGTGAGACTCGGCAACGCGTTGCCCCGAAGACTGACGCGCGCGGCCTCCGATGCGCACTCGCCCTTGAACAGGCGGATCGCTGCGGGCGCGCTGCGGGAAAAATTGCGCGTCGTCGCATTGGCACCGCGCCTCCCGCGATGCGCTGCGGCGGTGCGGTTGATGGCTGCGCGGCGACGCGCGAGCGCTGACGCGCGCGGCGGGCGCTGACTCGTCGCCGCGAGCCTGGCGCCGCGCCCGCCTCCTGAAGATCGCGACATGCGTCTTCCAAGACATTGGGCCCCCCCTCGAGCTTTCCCAACTAGAGCAGGTCATTCTCGAACTGCAGGGCCAGCGGGCCGGCGCAATCCTTCGGCGCTGCCTCCTCTGATAACGCGGGGGGCCAACAGAAATGCTGCGGGCGCCGCGTTCTCGAACGCAGCTCCCCCCCCGAGGACAGCCGCGAGCCCCTGGGCGCGCCGCCGCAGGCGGTGGCGGCTAGCGAGAGCTCGACAACGTCGCGGGCGTCGAACGACGTTTGACGCTCGGAGGGGCGACTCGAGGTGTCTTCTAGACGGCTTCCGAGCACGTGGCCGCGACCTCCCACCCTTCTTCCTCGCCTCGGTCGTTCAGCTGGCTGTCGGCGCAGAGCAATGCTCGACGCGGAACGCTCGCTGATTGCACAGCGGTGGGTACGAGCTTCTGTTCCTGGTCCCGCGCGGGCACTCTCGCCACCTACTCCAGTACTCTGGAGGGCCAACCTCTTGAGACCGTAGACCGGCAAGTCCCCCCGAAACTCCTCCACGCCCCGCCACCCGATGCGCATGGCCGCGCACCTGGCGCGCAAGTCCCCCTCGCCCCTCCCGACGTCTGCGCGCGACCCCCTCCCCCCGGAAATGCCGGCGCGGCCTGAACATCACCTGGCGTCGGACCCATCCGATCCGACCCAGAGCCTCGCCATGCGTCTGCCCGGCGTCTCGACCTCCACCGCCGCGCAACGCGCGTCTTGGGCGACGCGCGCGCAAGTCGAGTCGTTCGCGCGCTTGCGCACGCCCCGCTGGTCGCCTGCGCGATGGGGCATCCAGCGACGAGTTGGAAAAACGCCTGCCTCGACACCATTCCAGGTCGTTCGAAGAATACCCTGAACTTCGCGGCGGCGCCGGGGTCGCCCATGCAGCAGCCCGCGCGCTTTCGTAAAAAAGGCCCCGTCGCCATCGCGCGCGTTCGCCGAGCAGGCCGCGCGACGGCGCCTCGACAGCATGATCTGCGCAGATCTATGACCTCCGAGCGGCAGTGGAAGACCGCCTCGAAGCTGCCGCGCGCCAATTGGCACCATTCCCAAACTGCATAGTCCGTGTAGTAAGCGTGGTCCACGTGCGTGCGGCTTGTTATTCATCCTGCTCGCCTGGCATGACTCAGAATGCTTCACCACGCAAAGGAGACGTTGATGTTGCCGCATCGCTGCCAACTGCGCCTGTGGGAAAACATGTCGCGCGGGGCGCGCCACCGGCGGGCGTCTCCTCCATTGCGCATCTTTTTCACGACGACGGTATGCGCTGCAAGCTGTTGGTAAGGACCGGGTAGGGGGCGCTCTCCCTCTGCGCCCTCAAGGGATCTCCTCGATGAGTCTGTGCAGGTCTTGATTCGCTTCCCCCCAACGCTTCATAACAGGGTAGCAGGGATTGTCCTGGTCCGACGCCATCGAGATGAATTCGTTGTTGTACCTCTATTGACCGCCAGTCCGCCATCGCTCCCAAGCGCTGCCAGGTCTTCTTCCCAAGTTCGCCGGTCAGGCCGGGAGTCAGGTGGGAGAAAGAAATTCCGTCGCCGCAGGGCAAGTCCGTTGCAAAACATGTCAAAACAGACTTGCCAGGCCACGTCCGCTCCGTCCGTGCGCGCTGCCTCGCGCAGCTGTTCGGCAAAGTTGGATTCCCGTTCCATTCCAGGTCGTACCCGTGCCAGCATGCAACGTCGCGTATACTGTCGAACATACCACGCGCTCAAATTCGCCGTCCAGTCGATCTCGCGCGAGTGCTCTCGCCAGCAATGCCGCCCCCCTTCTCGCGCGCCAGTCTCCCATGTTGTTCTGGGCAATTCTTCCCACTCGTAGTGCAACATGCGTCAGCGAACTTCTGCACTGTCCGCTCCTAATCTGACCACAATGGTTCCCATGTCGTTGATCTCATCCAAGCCGCTCTCTCTACATCTCCAACCAATTGCAGTTTCGTATTCAACGCCTCCTCCGCGCTGTTCCTGAACTGCTCCGCCTCCTCCTCGTTCTTCAGGGTTTTGCTGGGCGCGGCGAAGTCCCGCAGTTTGCTTGCCTGCAGCGGTGTTGTAAATTTAAGCAGGTCGCCCAATCCAGCAGCAATGAGAGGTCCAGGATTGCAGCACACGGTGCTGCTCGTACCCGTCTGGTAAGTTTGCAGGGAATCCCGCGCTGATGCACTCGAAGTAATTACGGCGGTGGGATCGCGAGGTTGTCGATGTAGCTCGTACGCCTGTGCCCATGTTATGTTTGTCCAGAGGGATACTAGCCCGTGGCCACTGCCAATCCAGTTTCTTCCAGTCGCTCTCGATACATCGCGCCTGCCACGTGTTCAACGCTGCGGGCGAACGGCCCTTTGCTCACGCTGCCTACTTCCTGGGCCAGGCCATCCAAAGATTGAAGAGCCACTCCGTCACTCAGGTCAATGGAAGCATGATGGCACGGCGGCTGGGCGTGCCGTCCGTGATGCTCTGCAGCTGCTCGGCCAGCCTCGTCGCCGTGGCCTCATAGCTGGGGATGCTGCGCGCCTCCGTCCACTTCGGCGAGAAGTAGCCCACGATCACCATGAAATCGAACAGGGGGGATTTTGTTGTCACTGCTCCAAATCTCCGGTGAAGCGCATTGGGTACTGGCCACGAACGAGTGAGGCATGATATGCGAAACCGCCACCGGGTCAGCCATATCTACGCACCACAGCTTTTGCTTGCGAGACGCTCTCTGGAACGTTAATGTGATGGAACAGCTCGTGCTACTTTGGGTGATCCTATCTTGGCACTCGCGCCAGGCAGCAATGCAACATCTGCGAATTTGACATGCTGTGTCAACTCCAGCCGTCTATCATAATCCGGAATGGACATGGGGTCTCTTCATCTGGCCGGCAACACATCGCCATCGCAGTGCCGAGAGGAGGTTCGAAACGGTGAAAGAAAGCGAATGGTCCCTCATACCCCAGAGCCTCGGGCCAGGGCTCGATGATGGTGATGATGATGATGATGATGATGATGATGATGATGATGATGATGATGATGATGATGAACGAGGGTGTGCAGGAGGAGAAAGAAGACGGGCAGGAGAAAGAAGAGGAGGGGATGGATATGAACAGGGCGGGGGTACATCGGAAGAGGAAGGAACAACCTGAATGACGGTAACCTGAGGAGGAAAAGTGAGGGACGTGGAAGAAAGAACCCTCAAATATAACACCATTGCACCCCAACGAGAATACAAGTGCTACTACTCGTAACCCCAATCGACGACGACCGCTAGGAAGAGACCCTCCTTTCTGCGACTCACTCTCCCGAAAAAGGAAAAAGTCGTGGAACGGAACAAGGGGAAGCCTCCGGGGAGCCTGTTGAAGCAATTCCGAAGCCTTCTGGGGCCACTGAGGGGCCGCTCGGGGGTCTATTGGGGTTATGTTGGCCTGGGGGGCCTCGTGGGGCCCTCTGGGGACGTGCTGGCAGTTTCGGGGGCCCTATGGGGGCGGCGGTCTCGAAATGTAAATTCGGGTCCCCCCCTTTTGGGCCCAATTTGGTGCCACCTTGGCACCCTCTGGGGCCGTCTCGTGCGCCTCGCGGACTGTATTTGACCCTTCTTGGGCCGTCTTGAGGCCTCTTAAAGGCCCATTGGGCAGTTTTGGAAGGCTCTTGGGCCGTCTTGGACGCTGTGAAAACTCCAGTTGCGAAGGTGCTGAACGCGCAATTCTCCCATCAAGGATTCTGGCGATGTTGGCCTCCTGGCACTGTCTTGGGAAGCCTCTTGGAGCTCTCTTGGGTTGTGCCGCAGGTCTCTTGCGCCGCCTAAAGGTTAACTTGCGCAATTACGGGCGCTCTGCGGAGGCTTTGACGGGTCTTGGATGCCTCATTGGCATTCTGCTGGCCATCGCGGGCGCTCTTGGATCGCCCCAAGGGCTGTCCTGAGCGGCCAGAAAGCGGCCCGGAGGATGGGGAAGGGGTGGCGAGCAGGGGATCGGGAAAACGAAGAGTATTCCTCCTCCTCCTCCTCCTCCTCCTTCTTCTCCTCCTCCTCGGTCGGTCGGTTGGTCGGTCGGTCGGTTGTCGGGCACAGAGGTCAAGAAGTCCGCGCTAAGAAGGGGACATAGAAAATTGGGAAAGCTACGGCGGCAGCAGCGGCGGCACAGCGGCACGGGGCCCCTTCCTGCGCCTGACAGCGCAGGTTACTTGGCTGCCGAGGGGCAGCCTCGCGCAGCACAATGAGGGTTGCTGCTTTTCAAGTGTGCGACGCTACGGAAAGAACAGGGGAGGGGGGCTAAGGTTGGAAAAGAAGAGCCTTCACCCCCGAGGGCCACGGATTACTGACAATGTCGAGCAGCACATGAAGTGTGCTGCACTGGGCAACTACTGCTTCTTAAAGTGAGTGTGCACCCGCGGCGCCTCTTGGGCGCGGCATCGCATTCATAGCCAAGCCCGTCACCCTGACCCCTGGGGTTGACAGCACTCGATGGTTTGAAGGGGTGGCAGAACAAACAAAGAAGATAATGAAAGTGGATCTTTACACACATTCCGCAGCTTGTGTCGATGGTGGATCATGCAATCCATGGATATTCCTCGACCACCTATATGGATCCAAGGGAGCAAAATACTGTGGGGAGCCCTTCTACTACATCAGTGCCAAACCGTCGGCACAGCACACGATCCTGATAATCAGACATATATAGAAGGAGGGTGCAGGCAGTGGAGGATTCACGTTAATTCTGTATGGGGTCTCCGATCGGATGCTTGGAAACCTGGTTCGAACTTCCTCAAGGATGGTGGTGGCCAAGAAAACGCACAGTCCAGGAGGGTACGTTTTGGCCTGGGCCGAAACCCGCAGTCCATCCGAGTCCAGCCCCTGGAGGGAACGGTGGGTGTGATCCCGCAAGCATAGGCCGCCACCCCTTCTAGCATCGAGCCAGCGTTGCATAGCATGCGTATGGACTGCCAGCAATGTAGTCGGCTTTTTGGCAAGGCCTCCGAAATCAGAGTGGTAAAGTGAGCAATTACCCCCGATTGTGCTGCCATCCGCCAAAGGCTAGGCAGCTGCCACGACGAGGGCACTCCCTCTCGCCACGTACACGGGGCAGAGTGTTCCAGAATCGCCGGTACTCCATATACCCAGGCAATGTATAGAAACCGAATCGTAATGCGCAACAATTGGTTTCCCAAATCATCACGCGTTGCGTCTCACGCGCGCTCACGTGGCCGAGCCCCCAGGGAACCTTTAAGGAGCACAAGGGTCTCGGTGGCCTACGAGACTGGGGCACGGGAGTATGGCGCGCAACCGACCAAGACTCACACGGGGGCCCGCCACTATCGTGGCCGCGTGGCCTGATCTCAACAGGAGGGCGTTTATTTATGTTTGGCGATAACGGGCATTACAAGGGGAGGGGACCGGAGGGGGTATAATGTAACGCGCCCCCCCCCCCCCGTGTGGCTTCGGCACCACAGCCGCGCCCGCGCGCACGACGACAATGATCGACGAGCGACGAGCGACGAGCAACGAAGACGACGACGACGACGAAGCAAGCAGCATGTAGGTGGCGACCTGCCCCTCAGCGACTGTACACACCACAGTACTCGCGTGCACCACAGCGCGCGTTTACACCCCAGCGCCTGCCGACAGCCGTGTGCGACGCAGCGCATGTGCACACCACAGTGCTCGAGTGCACCACAGCGCAGTGCTTGCGTGCACCACAACGCCGGTGTACCCCACAGCGAATGTGCAACACCGCAGCAACCATGTGCAACGCAGCGCCTGTGTACACCACAATGCTTGCGTGCACCGCAGCGCCTGTGCACACCACAGCGCGTGTCTACACCACAGCATCCGCGTGCACGCGGCGCTGGTGTACACCACAATTCCTGCGTGCACAGGAAAGGTAGAACGAGCAGGCAGGTGAGCATCTGCTGCGGACAAGTAAACACCAGGCCAGGGAATTGCTGATAATAGAATGCAGCGTTCTTCTCTCATCCCTCCTCCGCCACCTCCACCTCCACCACCTCCTCCTCAAGAGAAGCAGTTTTTACTGGGGGCACAAAACCACAATTTCGGCCCCTATGCGGATGCCAGAGCGGGTTCCTAATTATGCGGATCCCAACCCTATGCGGATCCGTCCGCGGATCCCTATGCGGATGCTTATGCGGATCCCGATGCGGATCCCGATGCGGATGCCTATGCGGATGCCCATGCGCAGTGCCATGCGAGTCCCTATGCGAATCCCTATGCGGCTCCTTACACGGCGGGCGGACCCCTATGCAAATGCGCATGCGCATGCGCATGCGGATACCCATGAAATCCCACCAGCCCTTTGGGCGTGAGTGGTTTAGCGAGCTCTCTCTGTTTTCAACCCCCTAACCCCCTATCTTCCCCTTCGGGGAGGGGTTTACCCCTCCCCCTACCCCCTCCCCTGGACCTGGAGAGGGCGGGCCGAGTGGGACCAAGGGGGACTTTTTCGACTCCTGGGAGGGCCAAAAAAACTACGACCCTCACGAGGATTCTGGTCTCGAGGGGGGGAGACCGTTTGGCGCCTCCACTCGTCTTCCAAGCCAAAAACATTGATTTTACTACGGTTTTGACCCCATTGTGTCCTTCGGAGGGGGCCGCGCTCATCGTCCTTCATAGCAAAAGTATTGATTTTACGAAGGTTTTGGCGTCATTTTCTCCTTCTCAGGGGGCAGCGCTCATTTCTGCTTCTGAGGACGTCGTAAGAGGCCCCAAGATGGCCCCAAGAGGCCCCCAGGAGGCTCCCTAGAGGCCTCCAAGAGGCCCCCAAGAGGCCCCCAAGAGGCCCCAAGAGGTCCCCAAGAGGCTCCCAAGAGGCCCCCATGAGGCCCCAAGAGGCTCCAAGAGGCTCCCCAGAGGCCCCCAAGAGGCCCCCCAGAGACGCCCAAGAGGCCCCGAGAGGCTCCAAGAGGTTCCCAAGAGGCCCCCCGAGGAGCCTGAACGACTCACACCAGGACGTGGGGCCCCAACGACTCACACCACGAAGAGCCCGAACAGCGCTCATTTGCGCTTCTGAGGAGGTCGCAAGAGGCCCCAAGATGGCCCCAAGAGGCTCCCAGGAGGCTCCCAAGAGGCCTCCAAGAGGCCCCCAAGAGGCCCCCAAGAGGCCCCCAAGAGGCCCCCAAGAGGCCCCCAAGAGGCCCCCAAGAGGCCCCCAAGAGGCCCCCAAGAGGCCCCAAGAGGCTCCAAGAGGCCCCCAAGAGGCCCCACGAGGAGCCCGAACGACTCACACCAGGACGAGGGGCCCGAACGACTCACACCACGAAGAGCCCGAACGACTCACACCACAAGGAGGGGCCCGAACGACTCACACCAGGACGTGGCGCCCGAACGACTCACACCACGAGGAGCCCGAACGACTCACACCACGACGCGGGCCCCGAACGACTCACACCACGAGGAGCCCGAACGAGTCACACCAGGAGGAGGGGCCCGAACGACTCACACCAGGATGAGGGGCCCGAACAACTCACACCACGAGAAGCCCGAACGACTCACACCAGGACGAAGAGCCCGAACGACTCACACCACGAAGAGCCCGAACGACTCACACCAGGAAGAAGGGCCCGAACGACTCACACCAGGACGAGAAACCCCAAACGACTCAAATCACGAGGAGCGCTTTCTCTCCCTCCTCCTCCGCCTCGTCCTTCTCCCGCTCCCCCCACAAGGAGGATGTACAAGGAGGCGGGAGGAAGGAGGAACAGGGGAGATATGCGGGGCCAAGCGGACACACGCCTGAAAAACACGACTGTCGGCATGCTTCGCAAGAGTTGCTGCTGTGAGATGGGCTGGTGGGGATACGCGAAGCGTAAAGAATTTCCAATGCGGACCCGGACCAGGCTCCTATACGGATCCCTATGCGGACGCCGATGCGGATCCCAATGCGCACGGAGGCAGTGCCAGGAGTGCACTGGGGGGGAGGAGCGTTTCGTTATAGGGGGAGGGGGCTGGGAGGGCTATACATAGAGTCAATTATGCCCAAAATGATAAAAAAACACGCTCCAGGTCGAGCCGCACATGAATAGTGTACTCATCCGTCTAATCCCCCCACGTCGGATCGTGGGCTATATCGATGCTGATAACATGGAGCTTTGTGGGGGTGTCCTGGAAGGCCTGCTCCATAAAGCATTGAATGTCGCCCTGCCTTCTGAAACCCGAGAACAGGTGAAACACAAACACGTCACGGGCTTGGGGACACATATGGGCGGAATGGCGGGTACTGCAACGGCTTCCTCTTTGGCTGTCTTTCGGGACAGTGGCGCTGTTGGCGCTACAGGGGGCCCATAACATTGGACTGAGGGAGCGGCAGCCTTGGCTTCATGCACCCCCTTGGCCCCATTGGCTGAAGAGGCTTGTTTGCACAACAACTTGGCTTCCTCCCTCGCCTCCCTGGTAGGCCTGAGCCAAAATTGACCCATGCACGATGGCATGCAGGAACGTTCCGAAGATGTTTGACAAGCCTCGGGATCTGCTCAAGATCCTCGACGCAAACTAGGCAACATGTGCCAGTGGCCAACGCAGCGGGTGCGTCCAGGGAAGGGTGCGTTTTGGTCTAATGAATGCGGACGAGCCTCTCGGAGCCCGCCGTGAAGCCACACTCATAACAAACAAAACCCTGGGGTCTGTCTGCAACACACGGGTCAAGGGGGGTACCTGTGGCCTCCTTAGCAAGCTGTCGCTCCCACCCCTGCAGCTTGTGTAGGTCGCTGGCGTAGGTGCGTTCTTGATGACTGCCGCGACGGTGACCTTACAAGCCTTGCCATGGGGTCGTGCCGTCTCGATCGAGTCCTGGCGATAGCCAAAACGTCGTTCGTGCCGAGCCTTTTGGCCCTGGTCCAAATCTCGGAGTGGGCCAAATGCAGCTCAGCATTGTTAGAAACAGCCCAGCATTGTGTGAAACACCTCCTCCTCCTCCTCCTCCCCTTCCGACCGCTCTGGCGAACACAACAACTCCTCCAACCTCCCAAGCCTGGACATGCTCCCCTCCACTGGGCGCCAGTCCGTTGAGCGAGCTCCAAGTCGCCGCAGAGACGACGAGGGAGGTCACGCCCAGGAGACAAGCGCTCTGCGCGGCTTGGCCTCAGCGCCGGCTGCAAGTCGTCGTCTTCGTCTCCCTCCTGCTCCTCCTCGTCCCTCGAGGGGGGAAAGGATGGGAGGACAAAGGGAGGATGCGGGAGGGGGGAGGAGGGGATGATGTGGGCCCCGCGGAGTAAGAGCAACCCACGCCGCGTGCAAACACCCCGCAGGGCCTGCAGGCAATCGGCGCGTGGGCTGAGAGGTTGTCCCCCATGACTTGGCCCTGCGGAGCAGACCGCAGCACGCAGTAGAAGAAGAGGGAGGGCCGAGTGGGTGACCCGCGCGACGGGGCAGGCAGGGAGGACGGAGGGAGGGAGACGATAGGGGAGGGGGATGAAGGGACGAGGAGGGAGGATGGGAGAGGAGGATAGGAGGAATGAGCAGAAGCGTGGAAGAGAGGGGGAGCGGGGTGGCACGATGGAGGGAGGAGGAGGAGGAGGAGGTGGGAGGATGATACGCCCCAAGGACTGTTATGAGATGCATGGGGTTTCTCAGAAGTGGTCACGGGGGAGGGAGAGAGAGAGAGAGAGGAGGGGTGATGGGGGCTCTCAGAAGGGGTCCTCGGAAACGGTAACAAGGAATTATGTCGTCCTCCTCATCCTCCTCTCCTCTTCCGTCTTCCAGTTTCCCTGTCTCTTCCTCACCCTCCTCTTCCTGATCCTGCTCCCGTCCTCCTCTCGATGCCCCTCCCCCACCACCTCCTTTTCGCCATCGTCCTACCCTTCCATGTGCTTCTCGTCCACCTACACAACAGTCATGTTACACATCCTTTATCTCCAACCCCCTCGTATTCCCCCTCCTCATTTCCCCTCTCCGTCCCCCCCCCCTCCTCCTCCCGCCCTCCCTCCTTTCCTCCTTCCTTCCCTCCCTGCGGGTGCTTGATCCTCCCATATGCAGGGGGGGTGGAGCGCGTGGCGAGCCCTTGGGACGGCGTGTACTGTTGTTGACGTGCGTCCCTGACGCATGGCCCCGTTGCCTGACATTGATCCACCACCGTGCAGCTGGGCACGGGGCTGGCGTGTCCTTAGGTCCTTTGCCCAATCCTCTAAGCCCCAATCCTCACACCTCAACAGTCTTTAAGGGGCCCAGACCCCAAATTCACAAATCTCTCGGGGCTTGTCGCGTGCCAACTGGGCTCCCCACCGTGGTGGCGTGTGAATGCCGAAATCATTGATGTTCCTTTGGTTTGGGACGACGATGGCGCTCTCGCCTTTTCAACTTCCCGACGCTCCAAGACCCCAAGATCGCCCCAAGGCAGACCAAGAGGCCCCCAAGAGAGCGCCAAGACGGCACAAGAGAGCCCCAAGACGGTCCAAGAGGCAGACGAGACGACCTAAGAGGGTCAGAAGACGGTCCCAAGAGGGAGCCCAAATGGGGAACCCTGAACGGACATTTCGAGCCCTCGGTCCCGAGGGGCCCCCAGAAGGACACAAGAGGTCCCAAGGGGTCCCAAGAGGCCCCAGGAGGCCCTCTTGGCCCCCAAGAGGCACCCAAGAGGCTCCCAAGAGAATCCCAAACTACTCCCCCGAAAGCGCTCCGAAGAGATCCGAAGAAACATCCCTGAGAACTCTGACCCACAACCCAAACACGGTGACGGAATGGATCGAAGGCCATTCGACATGGGCCGGCACGGAAACGGAAAGAGCGCTTGAGCAACCTGCCCGAGAGGGCTCATGGCACCCTTCGCTCTTGGGAGCCTTGGTGGTGAGACCTGGTTGCGTCACCGCTCGTTATTGGGAGCCTTGGTGTTCCGAGACGTTTACGTTGCCGCGCGCTCTTGGGAACCTTGGTGTTGAGAGTTGTGTACGTCATCGTTCGCTCTGTGGAGCCTTGGTATGCACGAGTTTGTCACGTCACCGTTCGCTCTTGGGAGCCTTGGTGGAAAAAGCTTGTTACGTCACCACTCTCTGTTGGGAGCCCTGGTGTTCAGAGGTACTTACGTTGACGCTCGCTCTTGAGAGCCTTGGTGTGACGACCTTTTCACATCACCTTCGCGCTTGGGAGCCTGGGTGTGAATATCTTCTTACGACTCCTCATCCTCC